GTCACTGTAATATCTTTCAAGTTATTGTCTCAATCCCGATATACATGGTAAAAGGTACAACTTCCTTAAGTTTTGTCCATGAGTGTATATTCACTCTAAATAATTAAAATAGCCAGGATTTGTATGATATGGGAAACTGTTGATATTTCAAATCATCTCACAAAAACGAAGCATTAAAATGTAACGTAGAAATTAGGAAAGACAAACTTCTGAATATGAGAGACACGGAAATTTATTAATGGCAAAAACAAAATCAGCATTTACGAGGTGTGTTCAAAAATTATCGCGACTTTTGAATTTTCACGGGTTACGTATATTCGAATTTCGATCTTTTTGTGGCTTTATGTTGGTACTCATGTCTCTCACTTATGCAGACAAGCTCGGCCATTTTGAATGTTCACTTAATTGTTGACAGCTGCTTTGCTTGCAGGTGTTTTGGATCATCTTCGATTTTTACCTATTAAAAAAATGGATCAAAGAACCTGTATCAAATTTTGTGTGAAAAACGAAATTAAGTGCGCGGATGCATTCCGAATGTTGACTGTGGCATACGGAGAAGCTACCTTGGACCGAAGCAACGTTTATCGGTGGTACAAAATGTTCTCAGAAGGCCGAGAAGATGTGAACGACGAAGAGCGTGCCGGACGCCCGAGCACTTCAACAACAGACGAAAAAATTAATCAAGTGGAGAAAATGATATTGGCCAATCGTCGAATCACCGTTAGAGAAGTTGCTGAGGACCTAAACATATCGATTGGCTCGTGCCATTCGATTTTTATCAATGATTTGAGCATGAGAGGGGTCGCCGCGAAATTCGTACCAAAATTGCTCAATTGCGACTGTTGCGTCTCTACTCTACACCAGGTTACCGAGATCCACTAGGTCTGTGATAAAATCTTTATTTGCTCATAACACTAATCTGACTGACTATTTACAATTTAATGATACATATATATACATAAAAATAATTAACATAATAACAACAAACAAACACTATGCAAAACCTTATTTGCATATCTCTACAATTTATCTAAAACATAACTATTGTTATGCAAAACACCACATCTTCTCACCCCCAATTTGTTACACCATCTTTAAAGTATTCGGGGAGACTCCGGTTTCTTATTGATCTACTTGGCCCAGGTGTTTTCTCCAGCCTTGGTGGGTCCCTCCTGATCGGCGTAGTATCCAGGAAGCTCCTGTTGTCCGCATTGGAAGCTGGTCTCGGGGCACCGAGGCGAAAAGTGGGAAGTCCACGCCGGGGTTGCCATACCCGCTCAGCCCGTCACCCTCACTGTACATGTCCTCCCCACCGTTCATGTAACCCGCGCCCATTCCATTAGCTCCGCTCATCATTCCATTGGCGGTTCCATTCATAGCCGCGGCCATTCCATTACCATTCATTACCTCATTGATTTGACATACACTGTCGCCATAATTCATCCATTCAAGACCAATTCCAATCTGGTCAAAAGCCTCCCTTCCAATCAGATTTGGGCCCGGACCTTCGATCACAAGAAATTCCATTGTGATACTTCTTTTGTTTACTTTTACGTCGGCTTTTATTTTACCCAGAATTGATAACCTCTGCCTGTTCCATTGCACCAACTTGGTATAATCCTTCTCTATTCTAGGCCTTTCTGACTTCACCCAAGTTCTTATATACGTCTTCTCAGAAATAATATTTTTTCTGGTTCCTGAGTCAATGAGCATAATCATATCTCGACCGCTAGTCCGTACTTTTACCATATAATTCCGCATGTTACTGGTGTCCTTCACTTGATTTATATTAAAAAGGCAATAAATTGCCTCTGCCTCCTCATCTATCGAGCAGTTATTATTACGATCGCTCCTCCAGTTCCCGTTCTTACAGACCCTAGATATATGCCCTAACTTCTGGCATTTAAAACATCTCTTATCTTTAAAGAAACATTTCTCTTCTCTGTGATTTGTGTATCCACAGCGGAAACATTTAAGAATCTTCTCATTCCTCCGTCTCACCTTAACAGCTCTTCCCATTACATTAATTTCTTCCTGAGGTTTTCCGTCTTTAATTTCTGCAACGTTCCTTACCGCAGCCTCATGTGCCAATGCCATCTCTTGAGCCACTTTAAATGTTAGCATACTGTTCATTAACAGCATTGATTGTATCTCTCGCTTAGTATGCCGCATACTAGGGCATCACGCAACCAATCTTCCACATCAGGGAATTCACACTTCTCGGCAATTTTCTTTAGAGCTGTTATAAATTCAGATATTGTTTCATTTGGCATTTGAAGCCTTTTCGCAAATTTAAAACGCTGCACTATTATATTTGGCGTTGGATCAAAATATTTTTTAATCCCTGCTACTATCTCCTCCCATTCTGTTTCCAATGGATTCTTGGGAGAGGTCAACGTCCGTATTATATTATACGTTTCTCTTCCGCACAGCGAGAAAAATGTTGCCTTCTTTTTAACGATCTTCACTATATCACTCGCTATGCAATAGGATTCAAAACGTTCTAAATAGCTTGAGATTTCATTTCCATTGTTCGGGTTGAACTGTTCAATATTCATCATTGTTCGCTTACTTTCATTCACTCGTATTTGCTCTCTTCAATAGTCACTGTTGCGTATAGGTTCTTTATACTCGTCGCCACTGTTGCGTCTCTACTCTACACCAGGTTACCGAGATCCACTAGGTCTGTGATAAAATCTTTATTTGCTCATAACACTAATCTGACTGACTATTTACAATTTAATGATACATATATATACATAAAAATAATTAACATAATAACAACAAACAAACACTATGCAAAACCTTATTTGCATATCTCTACAATTTATCTAAAACATAACTATTGTTATGCAAAACACCACAGCGACCAAAAACAGCATCGCATTAACATTGCTAATGAGATGTTGGACTCTGTATGCGACGACCCAAATTTGCTCCAGAGGGTCATAACTGGTGACGAAGCGTGGGTTTATGGTTATTACGTGGAAACCAAAGCTCAATCATCTCAATGGAAGCTGCAGCACGAACCAAGACCGTAAAAAGCGCGCCAAGTTCGGTCGAATGTGAAAGTTTTGCTGACAGTTTTCTTCGGTTGCAGGGGCGTGGTGCATCATGAGTTCTTGCCACAGGGTAGAACGGTCAATAAGGAATATTACCTTCAAGTTATGCGCACGAAGCAATCCGCCAGAAACGCCCGGATTTGTGGAAGAACAAAAATTGGCTTTTGCACCACGATAACGCCCCTGCTCACACATCTTTGCTTGTGCGCGACTTTTTGGCCAAAAACAACTCACTAATGATGCCGCAGCCACCGTATTCCCCAGATCTGGCCCCCTGTGACTTTTTCTTGTTCCCTAAACTGAAGAGGGCCATGAAAGGACGACGTTACGCTACCCTTGACGAGATAAAGACGGCATCGAAGGAGGTGCTGAAAAAGATTTTAAAAAATGGTTTTTTGAAGTGCTTCGAAGATTGGAAAAACCGTTGGCACAAGTGTATAATATCTCATGGGGATTACTTTGAAGGGGACAAAATAGGTATTAATGAATAAATAAATAATATTTGAGAGGAAAAACACAAAGGTCGCGATACTTTTTGAACACACCTCGTATATGTATAAGAAATGAGGGAAGTTTACAGAGTAGCAAAATATAAATAATATAAATATTATAAAATTAATATAATCTGTACATATAAAATATTCGAAATATTATAGACGCGTATGATTTTTTTTTTAAATAAAACAATTTCTACTGCACTTACTGCAATGGAAAAATTAATGGGAGAACCTGGCTCATCAGTGGTGAACCCTCCAAACGGTTTCGCCAGTTTAATCTACCATACCGCTGTTATAATGCATTTTTAGAACTTCCTTTTATAGTGAGACTCATGCTATACTCGAAGCTTATATCCATAGTTCATCTAGAATACCCATTCCAAGAGTCTAGCATCAGTATCACTATAAAAGGAAGTTCTAAAAATGTAACATAACAGCGGTATGGTAGATTAAACTGGCGAAACAGCTGGGAGGGTTCACCACTGATGAGTCAGGCACTCCCATTAATTTTTCCATTGCAGTAAGGGCAGTAAAATTGATTTTTTAAAGGAATAAAACGCGTCTATAATAGGTTCGAATTTTTATAACAGATGGCGCGCTAATGTATCATAACATATGAAATATATAATAAAAAATAATGTAATAATCAATAAAATATATAATAATGAATTATAATAAATACTTTGCTACAATATATTCAAAGCGAGTTGATATAGAATATCTTTATGTTTATTACTGATTACTTAGTACACTCTCAAGTAGGAATCTTTTGATTATATTTGGGTTTCTGTGAGGATCATTTTATAAAGTCAATGGTGCCTGACAATCCACACATCCTGTTACCGCTGTGGGTCAATGAACACATTCCCCAAGTACTGAAATAGTCTTCCGTCGCCCGCACAAGTCCTAGGAGCGACTTTTCCGGGCTCACATACTGCTCAACTGAATCTACTGGTGCAGTAGAAGACGCTGAGGCGTCGGTGGAGTGGAGCCAATTCAGCTCGGTGATGGTGAAGTTGATGGCCGGATTTCGTCAGACCGGAGGATCGCCAAGGATGTGGTCTTGTGAGAAGTGGTTGCCTAGGTTTGGAGTTATAGAACTTAAAGACATGGAGTCTAGCAGTGGGACAGGAGGAGGAGTGTGTCTCTTGGTTGTATGGTAGACCTTTTGGGAAACAGTGGGTGTATCTAGCGATGCCAGGGGAGGATATATTTTTGCTTATCCCTAGTACACGTGGTACAGGCCATGATAATCATGGTGGGTAGAAGGCGACTACTTTTACTGTAAGTGCACCACATGTCTACACACACGAAAAACAGTTCGACTTTGCACTTACAAATAAATATGCCAGAGCCCCGTTTATTTACTTGCACTCGCTGGTGGGGTTGGACTTTTGCAAGAATAGGGGGATATTGGAGCATTTTTTAGATCAGAAAAAAGTGCCCAATGCGGGAATCGAACCCGGGTCGTAGTGGTCGAAAACCAACGGTTTTTACCAGCCTTCCACCGAACCCCCCAGGGGAGGATATGATAGGGCAGAAACGGCCTTCAAGGCCAGACTTGCTACAATGATATCAGATAGGATCAGTGGAAGTACATCTAGATGAGTTGTGGCCGAAGCCGCCAGCAAGTTCTGACTCCCTTATATACATGATGCATTAGCGCACCATCTACCATTTAAAATTTCAACTAGAGTAGATACGTCGCTAATAATTCCCTATAATCAATTTCTACTGTTCTTACTACAATAATAAAACAAATCTCATCAGTGGTAAACCTTCCCAGCGGTTTTGCCAGTTTAGTCTATTAAACCGCTCTATTATCCTATCGGTTGTTTTTCTTTTAACCAAAATTCAAGATAAACTCTTGAAAAGGCATTTTAAAGTAACGATGTATATAAGGTTTGAGATTAGTAGCAATTTTATATAATATATAAACATACTTCGGGTATTGCTTTTTCTCGAAAATGCAACAAATAAAATTATTTTAGACTTAATATAAGCATTATAAAGTAGCGATACATATCTTATTGGAAATTTGACTTTTTTATATTACTCAGGTTTTTTTTTTAAATAATATCTCAGATTGATATTCGAATCTAAATAGGAATATATGAGAACAAATTCTCATATTTTCATTTCAAATTCACAAATTATTTGCTGAATATATTCAAAATGTTTACATTTAGGAAGCGAGATCTCACGAGATAACGTGTAAATGTCAAAGAAGTGGATTCTTTTCATAATCAATTGCCGTATGAAAGTCCCAAGATACAAGGTGACACCTTTCAAGTAAACTGTTCTCTTTGAAATTCAAATAGATGTAAAGCTGAACCTTCAAAAGACCTGAAGAGAACACTAGAAATATAAATGTAAAATTGTAAATATCGTTTTGAAAATAAGGCAATCCATAAATATATATTTAATTAAAAAGGCATATATTAGATCAGAATATAATTTATTTTACCAATATTTCAATTGACTGAACGCCAGCCTTGGAATTAATTGGTAAGATAAATTATATTTTGATGAGAATACCTTGAAAAAGGTTAGCGTTCAGGTAACTGAAATATTGATGAAATAAATAATATTTTGATCCAATATATGCCTTTTTAATTAAAAAAAAATGTAAATATGTTATTGCATATGATATTGTAATAATTTAAAATACTTTGTTCGTTTTGTAATATTTTCAAATAATTTTTTCTTCTACATATTATTTTTGACTTTATCATTTATATCTGTGTTTATACACTGCGTGACATTGAAAATGGAACACCAAGAAATAGTGGTCAGAAAGTGATGAAACTCGGCTGACAGAGAGAGACAGGTACGAACAATAAGTGATCTTTATTTCAAAATTATAGTCATAATACAGAGCGAGAACGGCGTCGGCTTAGTAGCAAGTAGGACCACCGCGGACGGCGATGCACGCAGCAACACGTCTAGGTAGAGAGTCAATCAGAAAACGGATGGCGTCCTGAGGAATGGCTCTCCATTCCCTCTCAACCATTTGCCACAGTTCGTCTTCTGAACGCGGCTGTGGCAAGGCATGCAAACGGCGTCCTATGATGTCCCAGACGTGCTCGATTGGTGAGAGATCAGGAGAGTACGGTGGCCAGGGAAGCATCTGTACATCTTGCAGAGCTTGTTGGCTAATGCGAGCAGTGTGCGGTCGGGCGTTATCCTGCTGATAAAGGGCATTGGGTACCCCCTGAAGGTAGGGGAGTGTCACCGGTCGCAGCACATCATCAACGTATCGTTGGGCCGTCATAGTGCCCTGAATACGAAGTAAAGGTGACCTGGAATCATACGCGATTGCGCCCCAAACCATGATTCCACGTTGTCGCACGGTGGGGCGTTCCACAATTGCTGCCGGATTGGACCTTTCTCCACGTCGACGCCACACGCGTACACGGCGACTATCACTGGACAAGCAGAAACGCGACTCATCTGAGAACACGACCCTGTGCCATTCCGTCATCCACGTCGATCTAGCCCGGCACCATTCCAAACGTTGGCGCCTATTCGGTGGGGTCAATGGCAGTCTTCTTAGCGGACGGCATGAGTGCAAGTCATTAGCAACCAATCGACGGGAAATGATTCTGGTCGAGATGGAATGATCTAGGGTGTCTTGCACATGTTGCAGGATGGCGGTACAAGTGGCTTGTGGGGCCGTCACTGCTTGTCGAAGGATACGCCGATCCACACGTGCTGACATCACTCTGGTTGCACCGACATTCCTATAAATTGCCACATTTCCTTGTTCCAACCATCTTCTCCACAGTCGGTGCACCGTGGACGCACCAAGGTGTGTATCAGCTGCGATTTGACGTATGGACCAACCTGCCCTTTTCAGTCCGATCACCATGCCCCTCGTAAAAGCGTCTATCTGCTTGAACTGCCTCCGTTTACGATGACCTGGCATTCTCTGTTATTACACGTGTCTTTTGACACAAGAACAAAATTTCTACAATGATTCTCCTTGAAGAAATAACGACACGAATACTGTCCTTTCTGCAAGTTCCTTCCCTTATATCTTACTCCATGTGCGCACGAGAGCTGCGCATTTTACATCATTTGCATAACTCGGTTAGGCGCGTCTACCCTGAAATTTGCATAATTTTCTGGCCACTATTTCTTGGTGTTCCATTTTCAATGTCACGCAGTGTATTATGTGTGCCTAGTTTTTACGTTTTGAAGAATAACTGAAATTATTTTAGAGAGAGAAAGGGAGAGGTTAAAATTAATTATTTGAATGAAAAATATATAAAATAATTGAAAGTAACAGCTATTAAATAACTAAATATGTTTATTTGAAGTATTTATTGATATTTCTCTAATTATTCATTTAAATAAAAATATATAAAATATTGCCACGTGTAAAATTAGGGAAGACAAACTTCAGGTTGAGACAACAATTTATTCCAGGCAAGAACAAATTATAAATGATAAACAAGATATAAGCAAAATAAGGAAGAGTACAGAGTATAGCAAAATATAAACATAAAAAAATAATATTCTGCTAATAAAATAATAAATCTTGTAAAATAATAAAAACTTTGCTACAATATTAATAATGATCTTTGAAATGAAACAGAAAATAAACAGCTATAAGATCGTTGTGTGTTTTGATACTTTAAATCAAGAAAAATATTAAAAGAAGCATTGTTTATGTTAATCAATATATAACTAATAGGTATTAACTTTAACAACGTGTTCAAAATTTAATACAGATTGAAGTTACTTGTAGCAAAATAAAACCTTAGAGACACCTCTGTCCTTATAGAAGAACATGTATCAGAGCTAGAAGTTTTTTAATATCTCTATCTATATTCCAATATAGAAAATGAGTTAATTCGGATATTTCTTTGTTCTTACAAATGAAAAAGAGAACTTAACAAGGATACTAGGCACTTCGATTCATACCCGGTTTGTTATTGTGTTTCCAACTCCATCGACTCCATTGCTGATGAACGGCGCAGGTAGAATTTCAGAGGATTAAGTAAGAGGGCGGAAAGACCCTGAACACGCCATGTTCAATTATTGATTCTATTGCATCGATTGGAGTTTGCATTAAACGCCATAACACGCACGGTGGCGCTGGGCTGGTGTTTAAGCGCTTGCCTCTACCTTACACAACACCGATCTAATTGCCGATAGAATTCCTATAATTCCGTAGCCAAATTCTAGTATTGTCGTATATACACTCATGAACAAAACTTAAAGAAGTGGAAAGTCTACAAAATCGGCGGTTGTCTGTTTTTTAAAGAAGAAGATGTAATGTTGTGCACACTTGGTTATCTCATGTGTCTTCAATAAAGATCACTGTGTATTAAGAGTTATTGTCTGAATTCCGATATACATGTTAAAAGGTAAAACTTACTTATATTTTGTTCATAAGTGTATACACAATTGGTTATCTCGTGTGTCATCAATAAAGGGGTCACTGTATATCAAATATCTTTTAGAGTTATTGTCTTTTTCTCGATATACATGTTAAAAGGTACAACGACCTTAAGTTTTGTCCATGAGTGTATACACACTTGGTTATCTCGTGTGTCTTTATTAAAATTCACTGTAATATCTTCCAGAGTTATTGTCTAAATCCCGATATACAAACATGCTAAAAGGTATAACTTCCTTAAGGTTTGTCCATGAGTATATACGCACTTAGTTATCTCATGTGTCTTCAATAAAGGTCACTATAATATATTTCAGAGTTATTGTCTGAATCCCGATATACATGCTAAAAGGTACAACTTCCTTAAGTTTTGTCCATGAGTGTATACGCACTTAGTTATCTCGTGTGTCTTCAATAAAGGTCACTGTAATATCTTTCAGAGTTATTGTCTGAATCCCGATATACATGCTAAAAGGTACAACTTCCTTAAGTTTTGTCCATGAGTGTATACACACTTGTTTATATAGTGTGTAAAGGTCATGTAATAACTTTCAGAGTTATTGTCTAAATCCCGAAATACACGTTAAATGGTAAAAATTATTTAAGTTCTATCCATGAGTGTATATAGTGGCATTGTGTGTGTTGATGCAGTTAGTGGTACTCTCTAAGGGGCAATATCCAACCAGGGATTATACCACGGCAAACGGTTGCGGCCTGAATACAACCGTTGAAACAATTAGAGCTTATACATGCAATAGATGTGAATCCCAAATATATGAATTAAATTTAAAAAGAGGTTATAGCACCTAGAAGTAATTATATTTCTAAATAGCGTAATGAAGTATTTTCCTCAGTTTAAGGATATTGTAGAAAAATATTTATTATTTCAGCTACAGAACATTGATACCAATGTTTAGTTACTCAGAAAATATATTTCCTTGCACCTTTCTTTTATTTGAGGTAAATACGAAAAAATGAATGGTTTCTGACTAGCATTGTCACATTATCATGTTTTTTTCTCATTCTCTAAGTTACAATTGAATCTCTATTCAATATGCTTGTGCAATCTTGCTTTAACTGTAATTGGAAATGAACAGCCTTAAAAAGATTATACACGC